CTCGCTCACTTCTTCCTAATATATGTACTGTATGAGTCGTCAGCTCTGGGCTCCAGTCCACACCGTAGGCTCCCCAAACGTAGACGTTGGACAAACCCATTTACTACAGGAGCTGCCAAGACCTGTCGTTTAGAGGGCACGGGGTTGTGTGGGCCTAATGAGAGTCAGGAGCTGTGCTGAGTCCCAGAGGTGAGTGTTGGACCGGAGTGGAACCTCTGTCATCCATAACCCAGTGACACTCGTGATTGTTGGCTGCACAAGTCGTTCTCTGGCTCCGCAGTTTATATTTCACGAGTGAAATTACAAAAGTGAGGTCTTATTTTCCCATTAATCCAGAGAGGCCGCTGTAGCCCGTGTTTTATTAGGGTTATTTAATGTTGACCAGGTCCTCGGTTCGACTTTAAGCGCCATCTGATTATCTTATTATCATGTTATTAATTTAACATACTGTCAGTGGTATGGATGATGAAAAGAAGAGATTAAAAACAACAGTTAAATTAAAGTGTGTTAAAGTGTATATATGTAACGTAAGGAGTTTTTTTTTTGTTTGTTTGTTTGTTTGGGGTTTTTTTTTTACAAAAACTTAATTAAAGTATTGTCGGTATATGATGATATTATGATATATTAATATATAATATATTACAATTTAATATATTATACAATTATATTATGTAATTTATATTTTTATATTTTTTGTTTGCAAACAATACAAACCCACTCAGTTGTCAGGTGTAAGTGGACAGTCTGTAGACTGGCACAGACAAACAGAGAACAGCGCTTTTGATTAGCTTAGCAGAAATGCTAAATGCACTTACGGCTCCTGCACTCCTCCACAATCACCGCTGTCTTCCCACACGGAGCTAATAACATTATGGCGCTCAGGGAGCTGTCCAATCAGATCCTGACCTTGACGACAGGACAGAGTATGGACTCAGGATTTTCTTTTGTTTTGTTTTTTTGACACAGGACTAAAACAACTTCACTGTATCTGTTGAATGACGTTGGTTTAAACTACTTTTTAACGTTGTCCTGTTTGTCTGAGACAGACCCTGTTTGCCTTCTCTGCTACAAACAGGATTAACCAATAGGAAGCCTCCCCTTTACAAGAGAGTCACCAGTCACCAGGGTCATCAGGGACAGGTTTGATTCATGTCCCTAAGTTCATTTTCACCTTTTCTAACCCCCCACACCCCACACACTCCCACTTCCCACCTCCCCCTCTGTTCACCTTTTATTCATCTATTACGTGGATCAGAGACACGATGTTTATCTGAGGTCAGCCTCGTCCGTTTGTTTATATCAAGAAGGAGAGACGTTGAGGAACAAGACGTGGACATGTGCTATAGTACTTCTTGGATCCCAGCTCCCTCTACTGGACAATTCTCGATTATTTTGTGTCACAGATTAAACATTATGATTATGTCACAAATCATTACATTGCTTTAATTGAAGTGGTGAATTAAAACACAATGAGGATTTACTTCATTAATTAATTAAAAATCAACAGGATGTTTGAAAGATACGATCAGATAAGATATATGTGGTTTCTTGTAGTAGTAGTACTGTATGTCTCTGTACAACAGTACAGTACTCTGGGGAAAGTCATAATACCTGAAGTACATGTTGATCAGTGTCACACTGTGGATACAGTTCACCACAGTATTATTCCATGGTCTTGTCCAGGGGATAAAACAAAGACAACGCGGGACACATTCCTGAGGGACATGGAAGTCCAACGTCAACTTTTGTTCCACATTAGTTTCACATGTGCTGAGCGTTAAGGTTACTGTCCACTCTCCCTCCCGCCCGTCAAAAAAGATGACAAATCTTTTTAGTCAGTGCGGGGAACACACGCACATGTCTTTTACCGTTCACTCCATCAGTATGGGATGTCGCAGATGGCTCGGCCAGATATCGTGCACTGACCTCTCAGAGCTCTTATTACTGCGGCTCATATTTTACGCTGACAGTGTGTTTACTTTTTTGGACACAAATCCTTTGCTGGGCAACGTGTAGTTTTAAAGTTTTCCATTAAATCAGGGGTCGTTGTCGCAGTTCACCTGCGGTAATGTCTGAATGTTCGGAAAAAAAATCTATAATTTAATCCAAAAAGACATTTTCCTGTTCAATTTTTTTGAAAAACTCACACCACTTAAAGCAGAGGTTTGCAAACGGTGGCTCCTGGGACACATGTGGCTCATCGGCCATTTTGCACAAAATCCCACAAAAATGTAAGTTGCACCTGTCAGAAATGTGCAACGAAGGCTAAAGATTCCTGATCTTATTCCTCATCACTAAATTCTGCATACATGGGGTTTTTTTATTTTGGATAGGAGTACATTTTTGTGTTCATTCTTATCTTATCTTTCTAATCTTTATTGTTTAGTTTGGGTTTGTTTGGGGTTTTTTGTTAGTTTTGTTTGCTTTTCCCTGCGTGTGTGTGTGTGTGTTTATATTAGAGTCAAATTGGTCTCAGGTGTGTGATTGAGGTGCACGTGACAGGTGCAGGTGAATCGTGTGAGCTGATTGGTTCTCTGCCAATGCCTGAAGGCATAAGAAGCCCAGTGGCTGAGGGAGACCTGTTTGAACCACACTGAGAAAAACTGTTAGCAACACTGGGGGTTTGGGGGCTTTTTTTTTTATTCTTTGGCAAAATCTTTTTTTGTTTTTTCTATTTGCTGATAGTTTTGGGAAAGTTTGGTGTGGGATGTACTATTTGCTGATGGTTTTGGGAAAGTTTGGTGTGGGATGTAAAAAAATATGTGGAAAATGTTTTTAAAAAATTGTCTTAACAGCAAAAAATTCACCACCCCCTGTGAGTGACCCCCTGTTGAGAAACTGGTTGAACGCATGCAAATGTGGTTTTGAATTTTTTTTTTTTTTCAAGAATATTTTGGCTGTGTTCGTACAAGCAGTGGGCAGCAACGCTGCTGGTCTTAGGTTTTAAAGCCGCTAAAACAGCTTTCTAAAGCAATTATTGTTTTAATAATTTATCCATTGACATTCCTTTTGAGTTGAAAACCAAACTTTGGTTTAAAAGTCTGGAAAAACAAAGTTTCAATTTGAGTTTTTCGAGAGTAGAATTTGTTTTAAATCTTTCTAGCTGTGATCTATCGGATCATTAAGCTTAGTCTGATAAATAGTTCCATCTCGTGCAGTTGCGTTCCTGCAGGGATCGGTGTCACTCGTTGTAGCGTGACGCCACCGGCAGCTGTTGGTCGAGCACAAAGTCTCAAAGTCTGGCTTTATCCAAAGGTAAAAATATTACCTCACACCTGTCATCACATGACAAGCTCACAGTCATTAGTCTACATCGTATTTCACTGAATGTGATGTTTCATTCGGAGAACTTCGTCTCCATTGTCATCATAAAGGAGCTGGGCTCTGAGGTTGGAGCTGTGACTGAAGTTTATCGTCGTGAACTTACAACTCTATTCTTGTACACTTACAACTGTATTTGTGTAAATGTACCGCTTTATTCCCATAAGCTTACAACTTTATTCTCCTAATTTAAGATTTTTTTTTATCTTCAATGAGGCCCATTCTACACCGTCGTACTTTTCTGGATGAACCAAAATACAACTCTCGTGCACTGAGGCTAGCAGCATACCTTAAATACCGTATGCTGTCAGAGAGAAGCTAAGATTTAGTTGTGACATTCCAAAAACTCCATGTACTTTGTAAGATTATAACAAATTAGCTCAACCTTTAACACAGTTTACCCAGTGCAACTCTGAGGTGTTCGTCGGTGCAGCCATGTCTTGGATTTCTGTTACCTCCAGTCCTGCTGTGCAGTTTGCTGGTGATTTATCTCCTCGCAGGGGTCCTGATATTTCTCTGTTCACTTTTGATGGCAGTGATAAAACAGGCAGTAAAGTTATGTCAGCTCTGTATTACCACAGCTGGTATTACTCACCGGAGGGCCTCTGATGTAGTCGAGACACGCAGGGAAAGTCTCAGTTTGATTGTCTCTGTGACTGACAGAGCCGTTACAACAAAACCAGAACGCACAGATCAGAGTAACAAACAGAAGTCGATGCATCTCTGTCGACCATAAAACCCTCTGTGTCTCAGGTGTTCATGCTGCCGTGGCTGCCACTGCTGCTGGTGCGTACCAGATGAGTCGTTTGTGGGGGGATTTTATGACATATCTCTAATAGTTTTGAAGGTTTTATTGTAATATCTTTGTTTTATCTGACCAGGTACTTCAATTAAAAATACAATTTATTTTTCTTTATTTTTGCATTTTTGGGAAATGTTTGAATACCATATTTTTGTTGGTGAATACTTGTCATATAATACTGTATTTAAATCACAAATTAATTGATGTTAGGCCACACTGAAGTAAATGAGTGGATGTAGGGGTCAAAGTGGGAAATGGGATAAATCAAAGTGGATCTAGCTGAAGTAAATGAGTGGATTCAGGGGTCAAAGGAAATGGGATAAATCAAAGTGGATCTACAGAACATGAGGGAAGTCTTGCTTTAGCACATCACAGAGTGTGCAGTTGAATTCTAAGAGAGCTGAAGGAAGAGCCGATGCCTTTAAAGCCAAACAGACTGAGGGGAGAGAGAGAGAGGAAAGTAAATAGAATATGTTGAGGACTCAGGTTGACCTCCCTGGGATCAGATGTCTAGAGGTTTTTTGAAATGACCACTCTCATGACCTTCTAAACCCAAAAAGCTCTCGCTCAGGTCTGCAAATCAATCCCTCCTCAGTGTCAGTACAGTTCACATTGTCCTCGTTTTCTCCCTCTGACCCATTTCCCACTTCAGTCTGATACACTCTAATTTTCCTTCGTATGGATTTATTCAATTTTACTCGTTTTATTTGTGTTTTGTTTGGATGGTATTTTATTTTGAAAAAAATAATAACGTCTGTTCGCCTCCTATAAGTCACTTACAACGTTAGAATGTTTGAAATTAAAGAACAAAACAAAGTGATTATTGAACAAAAAGTGAGACCGAAAACTATTTCGCTGGGGCCTCTCTACCGAGACTAAAACTATTTCGCTGGGGCCTCTCTACCCGTGAGCGTATTCCGGTAAAAGAATAGTCAGGACACAGATGGCGTTTTTAACTTTTATCGAACTCTCAGAGGCATTTAAGGAGAAATACGCCCACACACATAACGCTGACTCAGCGAGGACCTCTCTCGATAAAACTACAAAGAAATGCCTGATTAAAATTCAAATAATTAACCAAGATTCTATTTTACGATTAACTTATAAATAATATTTAATATTCCAAATTATTTATAACAGTGATAATAATACTTACAGCACATGTACACGATAATTAAGTTACATATGACGCAATTTAGTGTGTTTTATTATGTACCCATGTCGCTGGTCCGGGACTGCTGCTCCACAGTAATAACCAGCAATTACCCCAGTGAACACTGGATGGCATTGTTGCTGTTCAAGACTCCTGCAATTTCGCAGCAGCGCTTCATTTCTCTTCACTTGGAGTTAGACAGGAGATGTTTCCGTTCGACATTCAAATGCATTGGAATTTGATTTACATAATATCATTTACATATTAAATGCTCTTTATTATTTTCTTCTTCACAAATGTCAATCTAATCAGCGTCAGAGCGTAAGGCACAACACTGTGAATCAAAGCAGCCGGAAGGCAGTGATCCTCGCACTTCACACTCTGGATTCCGCTAAGAAATCTAAATGTTCAGTGAATTTAAGTCTAACGAAGTCTTAAACAACCACCGCAGTGGCTGACGGTTATTCGTCACATGTCATGTGAGCCACCGTTTCCACCCGAGGAAAGGTTCTTATTATTATTGTGCCGAGCGGCGGTGTTTTGTGCCTAAACAGAGGACAACTGAACACAGGTGGGTCCTTTTAGCATCTGCTTCCAATGAAAAGTTGTTGTTTACACACTTCCCCCTGCGGGAACATACAGTGGCTGTCTGGCAGCTATCATGCTACAGCAGACAAACCAGATTTTCCAGCCAGCCTTTAGCACACCCACCTCACCTTTACTTCTTCATGGACACCAGACACCGCAGGTCACACAAACCTCCCTGTCACAGTAGGCTGGTTTGAAGCTGAGGTATTTATCTGTGAGTAAAAAAATAAAATCCCATACCATACACTACAGCTGGTTTACAATAATCTTACACTGCTAACTTGTTAGCTTTAACGAGGTATTTCCACCCTTGGGAACAAAGACAGAAGCAAGGCTAACTGTAGGATTTGTTCTGTTATGATAGTATGAACTACAGTAAAATACTTCTCGTCACTTCCAAATTATTTCTCTTTTATTTGTTTTTTTTTTATAGATGTTGTCACTATTGATGTCTTTGTATTTATGTTATTTATGCCTAACTGGTGTACCCGTACTCAGAGAAGAGCTACATCCCTTTGTGTAACATAATCTCAATGATGAGGATACACGATAATATTACACATTTTATTGAACTAACCTTTATACATCAGTTTGTACTTCATTACATTATATTATTATTACTTCCTAAAACGTGAACGCATATTTAAAGTGACATTTACTTTTTTTTTAACTCCAGTGTACAGCAGCTTTGCAGTGATTGTTTTTTAATCAACGCTTGTTGTTAATTAAATATAATTTCTACCTTATTGTAACCTTTACTGTTATAATAACTAGGCTGGAATATAAATGAAAACAGATATGTTGAGTATTATTGAGCCAACAATGATATTTAAATAGTAATAATTAAATTCACCACAATTAAGTTCACCACCTCAGTGTCATTACTCTGTGCTAAAACAGTGAATTTTATGAAGGATCTAAAGTGCATATTTTGTTTGTTTAAAAGGACATTATTTGAAGCTATAACAGTCTTAGTGAAATGGTAGTGTCAGACACAGGGAGCTTCCCTTGTTTGCGACCTCTGTCAAATCACAGTCAAGGTCATGGATAAGCAGCAGCGTTGACTCTTCCAACAGTCGTTCGACATCCTGTTGAAAGTGACTCCTTCTGCCGTTCCAAGACCAAAGTACCTTGTTATCATTTTGAGTTTTACTTCAGTCCACTACCTGATTCCAAAGGTGTTACGTACAGTATGTACAGTACACGAAGATGAACTGGTGTTACAAGCAGCATCTCCACGGAGGACAGCAGCAGCAGCACAGCTGTCTCAGAGGGTTCTTCTTCTTATACCTGGCCGCCAGTTTAAACTTCTCATTAGTCCTTTCCACGTAGTCCTGCGTCCTCTCCACGTTGGTCTGGATGTGTTCGATGTCGGCTCCTTGTTCCTCCACCAGCATGAAAATGTCCATGAACAGGTCTCTCAGCTCCCTCATGTTGTTTTCCAGACTCAACAGCTCCTGTCAGTGGATGAGGATCAGGGGATTAATATTGTTGATGTATGGGACATTAGTCAGAGGCTAAAGGTGCTTCGAGGAGACAGCTGCAGGATTTAGGGTTCAATTAGGAAACAAATGCAACTTTATCTCAAAAACAACTTTGGACGTCAACAAACGAGACGTAAATTTTGCTTTGATCCTTCATTAATTAGGGATTATAGCTGACTGGTGGACAGCCAGCGATTGATGGATTGTTGATGGTGTAATTTCCCACTCTGGCGAATGAGTTAGTGAAAAGTTTAGCGAGGTGATGTGTCCAAGTTTACAGTATCGTTGTCAGAAAAATACTGACAACAAGAAATATATTTTTATGACAGTAAAAAGAGGTCTAGACAGATATATATATGTAATGTGTATATATATATATAAAGAGTTCTATCTATCCACACTCCAGCCCAGTAGAGGGCAGTAGTGGCAATAGGTTTATTTCACATCTGCAATTGACGTCAGCAAACAAGATTAAACAGTGATCAAACACCTTGCTTATCTTGTCGCGTTAAATGTTACACTAATCTGTGATCGTAGTAGTTTGATACATGTATCGATGATGTTTAAATACAAAGATGTTCTATTATTAGAGAATGTGTTTCCAAAAATATTGTCTCTTTTTCCTTCCTCACCTTGTGACGCTGCTCGATCTCAGACAGCTGAGACCGTGTGACTTTGGCCTCGTTCAGTAGGTTCTCATTGAAGACCTCCCACTTTCCTGCCTCGAACATTTTGTCTACTTCCTCTTCCGTCACTTCTTTCCCCAGGACATCCAGCTGGCGGAGGATGAAGTCCTTACAGCGTTCCTGCTTTGTTATCAGTCCTTCATTGTACTGTCGCATCACCTACACGTGACAATAGAAAATAACATAAAAAAATAACATTTAGTCGAGCACAGACGGAGGTTCACATTTGAGGCTCATCATTTTAATGTAGTGAAAATGATTCCAGTTTATTATGTGATTGTGTTAGGATTACTGCTGTACTGTAGGCCTGTTGATGTGCAATATAATATGCAGTAGTATCAGGTGTTTCACAGGGTAGAACTAGAAGGGTCTGAATTTAGCAGAGGCAGCGCTAATGACATGATGATTTTAAAATGACACCAAATGTGTTTAAGCTGTTAGCAAACAAGCTGAAGTGAATGGATTTGATGGAAAAGTCTTTAAAAAGTGCCTTTCAGAGTTTGATGGATTAAAGTACGTTAGTTGTCTTACTTATAATGCCTCTGTGGCTGCACTAAAGGTCTTGAGGTTCTAAGAGAGTATTATTTCAAATCAATGTCATTATTTACACCAGAATGTGTTTTTTTTTAGTCCAGTTTATATCAAGTATATTGTCAACCTGCTGGAATTTGCTCTGCAGCGCTGCCTGCTGACAGCGTTGTATCCTTGTGGTAGCAGCAGCCGGCCCCTGCTGTTCCTCAGTTTTTTGGACTTGTTTAGACAGTGCATCTAAGCGCCGGTGGAGGCTTTCGGCCTGGAGCTTGATGTCTCTTGTTATGCTGCTCTCTTTCTTCATCACACTGAAACGTCGCATCGTTGCCACCAGGGTCTTTTGCTGCTGGGTGAACTGGAGGATCTGTGTGAAGTGGAGATCATACAGACCCGTCGGAGAACATCAAATATGGACAGAAATGCACTTACTTCCACCTGGGGTAACCGATGGAGGATGACAGTGTTTTTATTTACCTCTGTTTCCAGTGCATTAATGTCATCTCTGATCTTCTGAGCCTCAGACAAGAAATTTTCAATTATCGGCTCTTCCTCAAACACCACAGCCTGTGGCATCGCAATCCCGACCTCTACAGAGTCATCGTCGTCCCCCTCCTCTGGGAGTGGGTTATTATTTTCACCGGCAACAGCAGAGGACTCCTGAGCCCTCTGCTGTAGCTCTGACAACCGGTCTCTCATTGTGGTGTGGGACTCAGCTGAGCTCAGTCCTCCATCCACACAGCTGTTTGGTCGGTACAGTTCTCTTCAACTGTGAGGAGAAGAAGATTCACTGTCATGATTTTTGTTTTGATGTAACACATGTGAACATGTGACACTGTCTTATAATATTCAGGCATATGTTACTTATACCCACTGATTATTTTAGTCTGTACAAAAACCCTTCGCAGATGCAAATGCAGTTGCGTTTTATTGTCCAGTCACATTTGCTAGAAATTGCTCCCATGTTCCAGGAAACCAACCTGACAAAGCTGGAGGTAAAAATCCTTTAAACCCTCCAATCAATAGTAACCTTTATTCCTCCATCACTACCATATTGGCGGTGACCTTTATGCTACGACTGTAGAGACTCGCAGGCCTCGGCCGACGTTCCTTGTTGATCTAACAGTCGGTAAATATCTCTGAGACTGACAAGCAGCAACATTTAAACTGGTGTGTCCTGCTTTTATGTAAATATGAAATACACATTTTGCTCTTAACACCAAATAAAAGATGGAGCTGATCACACATGCAGAAATGCTCACATACAGAGGAACAGAAAAATGATCCTGGTCCCCCGAGCCGCAGGTTGGATACTGGATATGAGCTCAGGTGTGCACGTTCTTTCTACATGAAGTTTGACTTGTTCTCCCGGTGTGTGCATTTGGTTTTTGTGCTTAATTTCTCTATGGTTACATGACCCTGCGTCTAATTTGTAAAATTGAGTGAACAAAAACTCTTCAAAATGCAAATATTTGCCCCAATCATTCCTCGACATAAAGACTTCTGTAGGAAGAAAAAAAAAAGACATATCATATTTTGGTGGGATGAACTGTCTGGAGTGTATCCTGTCTTTGCCCCGGTGTCTGCTGGGATTGACTCCAGCTCTACCTGCGACCCTGGACAGGATTAAGTGGTAGAAGATAGATGAACAGATGAATAATAAAACGATGTCTCAGACTCTCGGTGCTTCATCTTTCTGCAGACTTTCTGTGGACTTTAAAAACTTTCATTTTTTGGCAGGAGAGTCAACAAAGTGGAGTTTGTTGTGGAGACGGGAGTTTTTCAGCAGTAGACTAACAGATGTTATCAAGATGGAAGACAGTGAGACAACCAGATCCTGAGTCTAGAACAGAGAAAACTAGATTTTATTAAACAGTGAATTAACACTGTTTTTTATTTTCAGTTCTTTTGACACATCTTTTTGTTTCTAAACTTTTTGAGGCTCTCACCTTCAGTTTGTGTTGTACTGATAAAATCTCGTTCCCACACTAGATACTGAACATTTTCTCATCAAACTTTTCTCTTGTTTTGTTTGTCATTAGCCTTTCACTGCTTTCAGCTTCAATTCTTAACCAAGTTTACAGCTCGATAAATAATTCAGTTATGAAATTTGTTAATAGTTAACTACTTTTTCATGCTCTTGTACAAAAAAGTTTTGTTTGTTTAAAAAAAAAGTAGTAAAAATTAATGCCTTACTTAAAGAAGATACGCTGCTGTATAAATATTTTTGTCCTACATATAAGCCCAAGGGATTTTCATTTTTTAACAGAGTTTTTTTTACTTTGTCTAATAATTAAGTTCTTAATAGTTTATTAAATCCCCAAAAAGTAACTTGAGAGGAAACTCTCTTTTGTAGGACTTAAGGTCAGGGTTTTAATTAGTATTCCTGTAAATTCAGCTGTTCCGATATGCTCATAACTAATGAGCTAAATTCCCAGATCGGCGCTGCGCTGAGATGTATTTTTAACCGAGCGCCGAAAAACAAGTGATGAACGAGCAGAAAGTTTATTTGCAACATCTTTCAAATTGACTGAAGTGCTTTTTTTTTTTTTTTTTCCCAGGAGAACTGAGTGGGATGTCGGTGTCTGAGAAGGAACACAAACAAACGTAAGTAAAAAAAAGATAGAAGTGTTTTAAAGTAAATCCAACTGAAAAACATTTCCATAAAGAAAAGTGTGAAAAAACAAGTCAAAGTAATGACACGGGGATTATCTGGGAAATCTTGCTTGACACTTAATCCTGTGGAAACACGTGACTGTTTAGGGAGTATTGTTAGGCTGCTGAGAAATGGACGGTTTCATATCTCAGAGTATCACATATCTGGATGGATTTCACACAGGAAACATGTTGGTTTCTCTGCTTCTGTGTTTGTATTATATTCCGTTGCTATTGCAACCTCTCCCAGAGCTTGAAAAGTGTTTCTGCTCCCCTCCCACCAGTCCCTTATCTCTCCTCCCCCCCACAATTTCACTCTGGTGCAGATCAGCAGATTAAAAGAATTCCTTAAAGGATTTGGGGTCATGTTTAGCCTCAAAACAACCGAAGGTGGAGCGCGGTTCATGGAGGAGTTCCTCTCCGTAACAGGACGTCGTGTTCTTTAACACAAACACACCTGTTTCTCCATCTGCTGTTGCTTATGTTTCTGATGTAAACGTACTGTTGACAGTCCTGTCTCCGTGCAGATGGAAAAACCAGTGTCCGGTTAGGTTTTATTTAAAAAATTCAACTTTATCCGTACACACACTCTTCAATGTCGACATATACCAACGTTACACTGACTTTAGTTCAAACAAAATAAGTTTACCTTGTACTTCTTAGTACTCCATACTGTACTCCAAATATACTTTAGCAGTAATGTAATCCAAGACCTTTTCCCATATCTTCTGATTCCACAACGACGTCATCAGAACTCCTCATACTCCACCGCTGATACCGACCCGTTAAAAGGTCGGAGAACTTTCCAACAGATTCATCACCAACAGTTTTTAGGACCTAAAACCCAAAGCAGGAAAAGTTCTCTGGAAGTTTGGCTGAGGCAGTTGAAAGCCCCTCCCCTCCTCCAAGGGGAATCACACTGTGTCCAATAGGGAGAGGGCAGAGTGAAGGCCCATTTGACTATCCAAAGAAATGAAACAGTGACGTGACTCAGGCAGTGAGGAGGAGAGACAGAAAGTACAGCAGAGGGAGTTGGTGCGTTTTGCCCTCAGGCTGATTCAGGAACAGCAGAGTTTTAGAACAAAACTCAGGCCAAACACTGAAGACGGTAGTAAGGAGCTCAACCAAGGCATTATGTTTCTGATCCACACGATAACTTCACACATGTAAGGTTTTCTACTCAGCAGCACCCCTAACACAGATGTGAGAAACCTGGTCATCCAGACAGAGCTTTGAAAATGGTTCCAGCTTCTGGTTGGAATCACCTTCTGGTTTGCCTCCTCTGGTGAGATGTTCAGGGAACCTCCAATACGTAGGAGCACCAGGAAAAGACCCCTAAACGTCTTGCAGGAACTGGGTCCCTCAGTTTGTCCTGGAACATCTGAGGATTGACCCAGAGGGGCTGGACAAGGTGGCCAGGGTGAGGGAAGTCAGGTTTTTTTTTTAGAAGTTCTGAGGGTGTCTCGCAATTTAACCAGCAAATACTGATGCTGTCAAAGTGGGTATATTTGTATCAATTGATCAAGAAGAAGTAGGTGTGGCAGAGAGAGTGTGCATCTGATAATAACGATCGAACAGTTGCGCAAGAGAGATGTTGTTTGCGGGGTTTCTTTTTTAGTTCTTCTTGATCCTGATGTTTCTACGATAAACTTTCCTTAATTATACAATTATTGCAGGTACAAAACAGTTAACTATGAACGGACTCCATATTGTTAGAGCAGTGTTCCATAACTCACATATCCAGCACTTATTGGTGTTTTATACATTTGACCTCGTCTTAGTTTTTTTTTTTTTTGTTTTAGTGATTCATCAAGTAAAGTGTTCCTTCCGTCAGGGTCGTGTCCACCAGGCGTCAAAGCTGCAACAATGAAGCCCCTTCCTGACCATTTATTTTGCAGTGGGCGGTGAAATATTGCCCGTGTATGAAAAATTAAAAGCATATTAACCATATGATGACAACGCAGAAAATGCTGTTATTCAGGGTTTTTATCTGTGCTCCAGCAAACGCTGCTCTGTGCCTGCAATAATACAGCGGCCCGGTGTTAACAGTGAGTCATCTGTCCCTAATGGCAGGATATTGTGACAACACAGCAAAACTGGTTTCTGCAAGTGTTAGAATTCACCTTCATCAGCATCCCAGGAACACGCTCACTGTCATGGGTGTAAACCTGTTTCCCGGTGGCTAATTAATCACCCGTAATTTCTCTTAATTCTCAGAGGCAATTGTGATGGAGGGGAGATTAAAAACGGTCTCTTCCCCCCTCTCTGTCGCCCTGTTTTTTCTCCTTCCTTCTTGAACAAAATTCATCCAGACTTTGTTGACTTAAATGAGCTCTGACTCGACAACAACACTGCCAGCAAATATCACCCAGTGTGCTGCTGTTTTTGTTGTCCAAGGTTAAAGGCGTATAAGCTGAGTCAACTCACTGGATGTAAACACGCGTCTTAAGTATTTTAATTCGAGAGCTTCAGGTCTTTTTTCTTTATTAACTTTGGTAAAAGGCATTGAGACCTGACAGTCTACAACTGTGAGTTTCTCTGGTGAAGCTTTCCAGCAGAGTGTGGAAGTAACAACGTTTATTGACGGCCATGCTGTACGGACTGTTTTAATTTTGGTTTTTCTTGGTTGGTTGCTTTTGTCCATTTATAAAATGGACAAATACTGTATCTAGATTTGTAGACAGGAAGGATAAAGAACTGCAAGTTACTCTGTGAGTACTAATACTAGTACTTCTATAGGTTTTTAAATCTTTTTATTGGACAAGTCGACTTAGAAAACTTTGACTTTCGTTCCGATGTGTTTTCAAATACGTTCCAAGAAACGAATCAAAGTCATGAACGTTTCCCATTTAATGGCGATAAATTATGAAATCATTTTGGCCTAATGTCTTATCACCTTTAAGGCGGCACTAATGTGACGATTGTGTGAGGAGTGACGGGATATTGAAGAAACATCCGGCTCCCGAGGAACCCTCCTTTGTACCATGAATGATGGAATCACTGCAAAGTTCCAATTATGAGGTCATCGTCAAGGTGTACGCAGGACGAGAGAAAGTGGAGATGAATGATTGAGGGCAGAGAGGCTATCAGAGAGGGAAGAGTGATGAGGTCAAAATCACTGTCATTAGCCCAATCACAAAGATGGATACTGAGGCCAGTGGCCTTGTCTGCTAACGTGAGCCGGCCTCTGATTCAGGTAATATATCTGGCCTTTGGGCACTGTACGGAGTTTAGCCCGGGGTCATTCAAATGTATTTACAGCTCGGCCTAAAAAGTACTTAAGTTGTTAACCCTGCCAAGAAGTACAGCCTCGGGCTGTTTCTGATCTACCTGCAGTATTACTGCTTAATCCCACCGCCTCGGCAGCAAATACACGCAGTTGTACATTGGCAGGAAGTAAATCATCGGAAAAACTGATGGAAAACGTTTTTGACGTCTTAAATAATACTGGCATTCACAGAAAATATTGTGTTTTTTATTCAGCATCGATTACTTGCCTTTAGAATACTGCTTTGACAGGAGTTTTTTTTGCTTTTATTATTGAATTTTTTTTTCTTTTTCCAAAATAATGAAAAAAACCTTTTAACCTTATAAATCCTGAAACGTCAGTTCTTTATAAAACAAATAAAGGAAGATGAACCTCAGAAAAAGAAAGAATTTTGCGATGGAAATTGATGGATTTTTTTTTTTCAAGACACTTTTTTGATCGCAGCAGTAAAAAAAAAATAACTATGTGTCTTTCTTTGTTTAATGTAGAGACTAAAACGCCGCCAACACAGAGCTCCGCAGCTCAGACACAGCCGTCAGGGCTCTCCACTATGATGAAAGCTACCACTTCAAACACGGGTCATTTCACCCTCTAGTGTCACGAGGCTGAAACATCAACCTGTGTTTCTTTTTGGGGTTTTTTCGGGGTTGAGGGGGGGGTTGAGTGTAAACCTGTCTTATTTATTCCCTGTCTCTGTGATTGGTAGTAGGGGAGTTGACTTTGTTGTCTTTGGTTCTGTTGGTGTTTACCACAAAAACCCGACTTCCTACTATTTTTACTCAAACGCAATGTCGAACAAAGGCCGTGACACCGACTCGGAACAGATTAAAAAAGTAGCACGAAGAAATATGACTAAATTAGATACTGGGTATTTTAATTTAATTTGATTGTTTTTTGGTTCCGGTAAATATCCTTTTTGTTCTTTTTGTCTTTGGTTTTCAGTGAAAACATCACACTTTGTCATTTTTTGTTTTGTTTCAAACCTGCGTTGAAAATACATTTATATTTTTCTATGTGCATTTGATGAAATGTTGATCAAACTGCATAGAGAGGAAATAAGATCAAAACAACGGAAAACTTTTCTCTTCGCTGCTTCACCGGTGGAGACAGTCCTGCTTTACGTTTTTTTGTTTTTCTTTAAAAATGTCCAAACAGGATTTGAACTCATTTACTCATACGTGGTGACATTTGGGAGAAGTGTCAGTTTTTTTCTGATTTAGCAGCTAAAGCAGTTACTGTAGTCCATCAGGTTCCACGGTGAAGGACACCGCGGTGACACCGTGTGGTGATATATCTGTGATGGACCGCTGGGTTCTGTCTCCACCTGAACGGAGGAGCAAACACATTTAGTCAGAGCAAACAGGCAGCTGAGGACTGTCGCGTGTGTGAGAGTGTGTGAGAGTGTGTGTGTACTTTCATGTACACTTAAGTTCAGAGCCAACAATTAAATAAGCAAACAGTAGCCACAGAAACAGGTCCTTTTTTCTGTTGTTTATCCACAGGGCTGCGGTGAACCCAGGTCAAATTTGTTCTACAGTGTTCTACAAATTGGCCGTTTGAGGAACTGCACGAGACAGTAGAACGTAGTACACAGTAGAGTACTTTGACTGAGTACTTCTTCAGAACTGACCCGAAGGAAATGTAGATGAACTGTGCTGTTTTATAGTAGTTATTCTGCTCTAATAACTGTTATTATTATTATTACTATTAATAATACTATTGATGAAAATAATAATTAGACAACAGTGCTTCTCAAAGTGTGGGGCGGGGCCCACTGGTGGGGACATGACAAACATTTATTTTCTCTTTTTGAACGTGGTGTAATTTGATGTTATTGATTATAAAAAATATTAATATAAATTTACCTGGTGTTAGTTCAATAAATTTGGAAGAAATTGTCTAGATTTTTTTGTTAGGGCAACGGGGGCAGGTGAGACCCCCTGGTGGACAGTCTTCAATAACAGTGTTAGATTCACGGAAACGTCGATGTTTCACCAACATACGTTACATTTTATTACTGTTCAACACTTCCTGGTGAGAGGTCAGAGGTCAATCATAAAACTCTGTTTTTTTTTCTTAAATATATCTACATTTCAAAACAGCGTTGGTGGTTAAATGCAGCAGAGGTAGACAGTCACTGTCAGAGGCTGAAAAAGTGTTGGTGTGTGTGCGTGTGTGTGTGCGTGTGTGTGTGTGTGTGTGTGTGCTTGATGCTTTTTGTGATTATGCGTGGTATCGATCAGCTCTGCAGCTGTGTATCTATCACGTTGGAGGTGGACGGCACCGCCAGCCGCCCCTGCTCTTATTGCACTCATTTCCTTTAGTCTCTAACATATATTAAAAAGCCGCAGCGTTTCATCACTTATCCCGAATGTCAGGGCTGAGATTGGCTGTTGTTAGCTGCTGGTTGGTTTCCCGTCTCTGGGGACGGTAATTGTCATTGTGGAGGCGAGGAGGAGATGTTCTTCAGGTCCACAACATGACAGTGGCGTTGGCTTTGACAGGTGGATGACAGAGGCACGGGTGGGCGGGGGGTAGAGAGCGAGGGGAGGGGGAGGTGCTGCAGTGTAAGGTGGCTGTGCCTCAGACGCGTACGTCCACATCAACTGACTCTTATCCCACCTGCAGACCACCCCTAATCGAGATGGAGGAGCGCTGTGGCAGATCGAAGTGCCTGCAGATGACAAGGTGGAAATGGATTGGCTCCTGTACCCTTGTCATGTTGCTCCATCTGCGGCGACGAGGGAGGAAGACGGATGGATTCCACGGCAGAAGGTTGTGTGGTGACGGGCAACCCGGTGGATAGACGTTGACGTTAAAAAAAAAGAGGCTATTTTTGTTAGGAATGAGTAAATGCAGATGTAGTAACAGATTTTTTTTTTTTTTTTTTTGTGATTAGTTTAAGGCGTTAATGTGTTGATGTCTTTAAGTTTACAAATACTGAGGGGAAAAAACATTTTTGGCAGATTTAGAAATTTTGATTAACAATTAATCATAATGAATCATGATTACCTACAGTCGTTTGACAGACATGATATATGTGCATATAGTCCGCAGTTAATTGCAAATTAATCACACATTTTTTATTTGTTCTAAATGTACCTGTGGAAGGTACTATTAACTCCATGGGAGTTTATAAATATATATTTTTTTTTTTAATTATTATAAAATACAATATTGTACCAGGATAAATCTGGTCTAGAATATTCTCCACCATATTTTTATAGTAAATATTTTGTTGCAGAAGTAAATATGAAGAGTTGCATGCTAGAGGTTTGAAGCTAAATTAGCCAAAAGAAAAAGAAAAAAATCCCCAAACTACATTGCTTGGTCAAGGTCAAAATATTGTGAGTGTAGTATTAGCATCAATGCTATATTTTTGTGCTTAAAAACTACATTGCTTGGCCAAGGTCAAAATATTGTGAGTGAGTGTCGTTGTTGGTCAAGGTCAAAATATTGTGAGTGAGTGTAGCATTAGCATCAATGCTATATTTTTGTGCTAACTTTTGTCCATTAATACTGATTATTTACCTATTCTCTGTCAGATTGACACTTTCGACAAATGAAAGGTGTGATTTTTGTGTTTTCTCTCTCTGCCGTGTCGAGGATAATGGAGCTTTTCTCTGCAGCGATTGAAAACAGGCATTATTAACAGAGAACATGTCACCACAAAGGCCAATCCTCCCTAAAGTGCTGCAGGTGCTGGGAGGTATACTCTGTGTGTGTGTTCCCTACATTAACCTGCACACACTGCGCCGGGGAGAGCCCTCTGCCCCTGGCACTCTTTTACAGGTCACTGATCTCCCATTACTGCTCACAGATCTGAGCCACGTTCCCGACCGTCCCGCTCCTTCCTGGGCCGTTCTCCACCGCGCCATTAGCCCATAATATAAGGCAGATGGGAGCGGCGTCGTAGTTTACATTAGCAGCACAGATCGTTAAAAGTCCGGGCAACATCCCACAGCTAGCGCTAATCAATTAGTCCTGATTAGTACTAAACAATGACAAATCCAAAACCTCTCACTGAACCAGTGAGCAATTGATAGAAATACAGATAGAAGCAAATTGAACGGTGTGTTTCACCTGCGCTGATTTGGTGGGAGAGGCTGAGAGACGGGTTAATGTGGCATCACCTCCGTGGAGGATTAATCACCTGGACTCTGGAAATAGCTGCCAACATAATCATCCCGGGGAGAGCGATGGGAAAACTCTGCCAAGACCGGCCCTGAAAGAAGGCAGAGGAAAAAACACACAAAGAGAAAATGAAAAGTAAAAGATACATTTTTTATTTTTACCACCACAATATTTCCACTCAGACTGAAACTTCTCTCATGATGGTCGGGTCAAAGGCAAGATCAGTCATTAATTTTTTTTCTAACTGTTTAGCCTTAACCCTGATGGTCGGGTCAAAGACAAGATCAGTCATTCATTTTTTTTTTTCTAACTGTTTAGCCTTAACCTTTGACCTGAAAGAGCAATGGAACGTGTATGATGACAAATCCTCCTGCAGCAATGCTGCCCCCTGGCTGCATTTTCTCTTTTCCCTGTTTTTGCTTTTGGCTGGAAAACGTTTTTCTGTGAAATATTTTGGATCCACATTCATTTGCTGAGTTTTAGTGACTGACAAAGAAGAAGAAAATACTTTTTTTTTTTTGGTTTGTCATTTTAATGAAGTAAGAAAAGTTCTGAGATTTACAAACGACATCAGTTACCATGGATATAAACAATGTGGAATAATCCTTGCAGACTTGGACGATGGGAATTTTAATCTTACCTTGAAGGACCCTTTGGTCTTTGTTTGTGTTTTGATAAAATTGCCCTCCAAACTGCCCCTCATTCTAACCCCCCAAAAAAATGACTCTTCATAGGTCCGTGAATTTTCCATCTGTCTTGTTTTCGTCGTTTGTTGTCATGGTTTAATGTCAGGCAGAGAGAAAACACAGTGGAGCCAAAATGGTGGTTTGCTCCCATAAGCGGAACGTTGGATTGAGGTCGGCGCCGTCCCATTTGTTCCTGTAAGACGGCTGTCTCTCATTGACATCTGGTGATGAGAGTTTGTCTTGGATGATGTCCTTCATTTCACCTCCCAAGGTCTCTCCTGGTACTCCCACCTCTCTCCTCCCCTTTACACTCCTTTCCCCGCGTTGCGATCATAAATTGCTGAATATAAAGCCTTGTTTCCAGTCCGTTAGAGGCAGTAGCTGATGCCAAGGGCCTTCATCTCCCATTTTGCACCTCTGAAGGCACTTAGATGGAAAAATCGCCCCCCCCCAGTACACCTCCCTGCCCCCCTGTCTGTGATATGTGCATGCATCATTCAAGCAACAGCCAACCCCTCAGCTTACATCGCGCCCCCTTGCAAGGCCACCATGTAGCAGTGCCATTTATTCTGAAGGGACTATAACGTAAAGGAACTACAATCACTTGGTTTGAAAAAAACAAAACAAAAAGCAGATCAACACAGAGCTTCACTGCAGCGCCATCACTGACAGTTCATTCTGTGATGATGTTGTGTTAAGTTCCTTTCTTTTTCCTAGTTGAATTGAATTCAATACAGGGGGTCCTCGGTTTACAGCGTCCTCGGTTTACGACATCCTTGGTTTACGACCTTCTTGGTTTACAGTATTTCCCATACATTTATTAAGAAAGTGAATATTCATTTCTGTCATATCGTAAACGTAGACCTTCAACTGGAGGTCCGCGGGCTGAATCCAGGCCACAGGACCATCCAGTCCGGCCAAAGACTTAACGTCAAATTACTCAGTATCAAATTACTGGATTGGCACAAAGCAAATATCTGAACAAAGTATTTTGTCAAATACTTGTTGGGCAGATTCCTTCACGCTAAAATAATGTCGTTGTAAATTGTCGAGCAGCTCAGGTACGTCTCGTTACCTACGAAAACTTGTTTTCTGTTCCTGTGCAGTACAGTGCAGTTGTGACTGGAAACACAGCGTAACAACATGAGAATAATGGACAGAGAGGAGAAAATCTAATTTGAACATCTCCAGGGAAATGAGTCGCTGTCACTCCGCTCTTCAGCCTCATAAACCAGCTGCTGAGGTTTGAAGTCGCTCCTTTGCTGCTTTGAGTCTGAGGATCAAAGGCAACGGAGGATTTGGTCTCCGTCTGTGCCCAGGATCAGGTACCAGCTGCTACAAGGTCCGTGTTCAGGAGCTGTCGTGTTCCTGCCACTCTGCTTCCTCTTCCTGTTGTCGACACGTGAACTTCCTCCTGCTCCGTCTCACCCTCATTTTCTCAGCGTACGTTGTTGATGTCTCTTACCTGGATCTTTTGGTCCAATAATAGAAGTACTGGACCTTTAGAGACAGAGTACGAAAACACTTTGGTATCCTGTGGGGCTTTTTTTTCTTTTAAACCAAGAGCAAAGACACCTTCTTTCTAAACCTGCGTGTGGCGCTATAGTTCCATTGAGAGACACTTCAACTTTATTTATTTCCACAAATGTCTTTAAAATGCTCTCCATTTCATTTGTTAGATTTCCAGCTCAGCTAAATCTCTACAGAGAAGTCATTTGGTGTCAGGCTGTAGAACAGTGATTATCAACTGGTGGTTCGCGGGGCCAAATCTGGCCCCTTTAAACCATCCAATCCGGTCCACGACTCGATTCCAAAATATTACTATAATTGAATAATTTAAATAATTAATAACATTTTTTTTCTTTCATTAACAACTGCACTGAATTTTAAATTTGGAAAGTGAACAGATTCTGTGCAGACATTCTGTTTATTATTTATAAGACAAGACACATCAAAAAGTCCACAGTTAACCTGAATGACTTGTAAGGTTTATCGTGATTCCGGCTCTGAATATTACAGTCCATCGAGTTCAGTGTATGTGGTATATTTCCTACAATTTGTACTTTGATTTTATTTCTCTGTTTTTGTATTTCCCCACTCCATTTATTGTCATATTTGTTCACCGTTCCCTGATCTACATTCCCACTGACAGACCCATGAGAAGAGGACAACACACTGTCTAACTCTCAGTCATTTGATTTCATTACGGGCTCCAGATAAACCCTAGTGTTGATACTGTAAAGAGCTCCAGCCTGAGTATCCGTTATAGATATATATATATATATTTGCTGAAGCCTGTTAAAGAAATGCCATTTCAACATCCACTCCCGGAGCCACTAAGCTTCTCTGGAGCTTAGCTAAATTAATTTCCCTTTCTTCCATTCCTCCGACTCAGCTTTCCTGAACTCTGCAGCCCCCCCTCAAATATAGACACGTGAAACAAAAATCCCACCGGTGGAAAGATGACTCAATTGTTTCTTTTTG